TTTGGGCCCAAAAACCCGTGAGGCCCAAATGTAAGCCCAATAAGCTATAATTTATGTATTTGGCCCCTTGAGAAGTGTTATTTTCATAAAATTCAAATTTTTATGTAAATAATAATATTTTATCCTTATAAAACCGAAAATATCATATTTTACCCAAATCTTTGTTATTTTTGCAAAAATTACACTTATAAAGATTTTTGGCTTTGTTTTCACTTCTTAAGCCTAAAGACTCTTAGATCTTTGAAGTATGTTGTCTTATTATGTTTTTGTTTATAAATCTTTCACACTTTGGCTATAGATCTCTTGATATAACATGTATTAACACAAATTTTCACAACATAAATGAAAGAAATCACATATAACATGCAAGCACATATAGATCAACACATAACATTTGTATTCTCCCCCCAAAAACAAGTAAAAACCGAAAACAAGGGGGTATGAACTCACCTTGGGTTTGTGGTTTCGGTTTTGAAGAAGAAATGGAAGAAGATGGTGTGGTTTCGGCCTTAGCAAGCTTCTTGAAGGGACCTTCAAACTTTGATGAGTTTTATGGAGTATGATCAAGAGATTAAGGTTGTAAGAGGGGTGAATGAGCGTATAAAGAAAGTATGTTTGTAAGATCTTACCACTATTATATAACTTGAAGTAATTTTTGGATGAAATCCTCCTTGAAGCTCTTATGATTCTCGAAATTTTTGAGAGGAAATAAAAGGTTGTTGTTATGAGTTCTTGAGAGAAACTTCAAGTGAGTTGTGTGTGTGTGTGTGATTCTCGGCTGAAACAAGAAGAAGAGAGAAGCTTGAAGTGATAGTTTCTTGGAGATATGGGAACTTGCATGGAAATCCAAGAGATAAAAATTAGGTGTCTACTTCTCCTTAATCCATATCTTTCTCTTTTCTTATATATATATATATATATATATATATATATATATATATATATATATATATGGCCGAGAATGGGCTAAAGGAAGAAGAAATGGATTAACTTGGCCCACTTCAAATCTTGGTTCGAGATTTTTAAGGCCCATAGAGAAAGTTTTCGGCCCATTGGGCCTTTAGAGTAGTTCACGGCCCAAATTGTATAAAGGAATGGATTTATGGCCCATTAAGGCTAATTAGGTTAGTTATGGCCCAATAAGGCTTATTAAGATAAACCAATTCATTTTGGATCCATTATGGCCCAAAATGTTAGTTTCATGAAAGTGGGTCCAATTAGAGCCCATTTAAGGGTTCTAAGCCCCAAAATAGTCAAATTGGAAACTTATTGGTCCATTAGGCCCAATAAGGAAATCCTAGTCCACATTGGACTTAAACCGGAAATTTTAGGGTTTCCAATCTTTCGTTGACCAATTGAAGTGTTTATATAGGGTTTTTGATGAAATTTGTTGTCATTGAATAAACATCAAGCGTGCTTTCAAAATTTTGGTTACAATTGTTATCATTGTTATAGTTACAAGGATATAGAATTTCCTAGTTGTGACATATATAGATTCCAAGTAATATATAGCATCCATTTCCTCCTAGGCTACAAGCCATCACAAATCAGACAATTCTATCATATAATTCCTGAAGGTATCCCTAGCCCTATCCTAGCATGCAATTCACATAAACATATAATACTCATGTATGAGTATTTTGGTAATCACTTACTTGAGCTCCGCTGATTGCATGCATCACACCATTTTCTTTGTAGAAATATTTTTAAAAAAATTATTTTCTTTAAAAAAAATACCAATTCCTCAGTTTGAGTTCAGACGCACCCAAGAGTGTGCCCAAATCCCTCAAACCAACACTCTTATACCAACTTGTAACATCCCAAAATCACTAATAAAAATTTTCATTTTTGAATCATCAAATTCACACAATATTTGTTCCAAAATCCATCATAGTAAAATGTATCACAATCATCAGAGTAAAATAACCATCATCAATATGGAAAATCATCAGGGGGATGTTGTGCAGTCAAACCAGACCCTTCCCTTGGAAGTAGTGCTGTAAAACTTTCCGAGTTGGTCGATTACTTGGGCGAGTACTCCCTACTCAGCCCCTTACCGATGCGAGTTACAAAATTCGAGTACTCCCCGATCGGCTCCTTACTGAAGCGAGCAGTGTTGTAAAACCCGGCCAACTCATTGATTAATATGTATAATATACTTAATGATTTGTTATTTAACACACACATGTGATTATTACTACACATATGTCTCAAATTTTCAGTAATTATTCACGAAGTGAGACCATTGTGTGTTTTTCAGTTTTTGTGTACTCACATGTATCTAATTTTGTTATATATTTCAATCAACTTCTGATTTTGATATATATAACTTCCCTAGATATATTTCTATATGAATTACAGAATCTGAGTACCCCCCCCCCCCCCCCCCGCGCAATACTCCTGAGTTCTCGCTACTCGGTAGTCGGCCGAACAGGTACCGAGTAGCGAGTTCTACAACCTTGACTGGAAGTACCTGAAAATGTTTAAACCATAAAACCATAAACATAAAGTTTAGCGAGTTCCCCAAAATACCACATACCATACATATTATCGGGCTTAGCCCTACATGAACGCTATGATCCAACCATAGTCTTACATTCACTCCCAGATTACAACCCTACCCTAATCTTTCTGCCATGATCCAACCATGGTCTTCTAGGAAAATCACAAATACAAACAAGTGTTGTGATCCAACCACAATATTTCATGCAAGAGTCATAAGGACAATCTAGCAACCTACATGGTATAGTGAGAAGACTCACCTATCTCAGAAAGTTAGATACACCATAGCTCAATGCCACGCAACCGGTGCTACAACACACCTATCAAATCAAACAAGATCCAACCTTAGTTTATACTCTAGAACTAGCAATTTCACCAAAATTCAACCCAAGTTAACAAGTCAACGACCAAGGTCAAAGTCAGCGGTCAACATCACCATCAGCTGACAGTTACATCGTGACCAACCCATGGTCACATCGTGTGAAACACACTTTACCCAATCCTAAACTCGATCATGATCCAACTCAACCTACTCAGCCCTGATAAAAAAATATCGTCATGTCGTGATGGACATGTCATCACGTCGTGATAGAATCTGTCCAAAATAACTGGGAAATCCCCCAGTCGTCACGTCGTGACAAGGAGGCTGTCACGTCATGAACTAGGTTTTTCTCAGCTTAATGGATTTAACTCCCAATCCATTAATCCATCCATCCAATCCGTCTAGAAGGATTTCTAATGTCCATTACAATCCAAAGATCAATGTTTTTCAGCCATGCATGCCTATTATGAGTCTAAGCCTCAAACTAGGTCAAAAATGAAGAAACATCACCAAAGATCTCATGCATGTGTTCAAAATACTAGCAAATTCCAAATCTGAACCATATATTACTCAAATAACCTCAATGATTCTTAAAGTTACCAACTTTATGGAATCTCACCATGACAACTTCCTCAAACTTGAAGATAAAGTGACAAAAGCTTAGATCTAGCAACCTAGAGCAATAAAGTTTGGGTCTTGAACACTTACAAAGGTCAAGAGATGCCCAAATGAAGTCCCAAAGCTTGCCAATATGCTCACAACAACACCAAGGCCTCCTTCTTCTTTCAAAAGCAACCAAAAGTACCAAGATGAGCTCAAAAAAGGAGGAGAGGGATTAGGGTTTTCTTCAAGGGCTTAGGAGGTGATGGAAGATGAGGGTGAAAGAAACCATAGCCCTCTACTTCCTTTAAATAGGGTCCAAGTATGAAAATTAGGGTTTTCCCCTGATCAGGTGTCACGTTGTGACCATCATAGTGTCACGTCATGACACTTAAATGAGACGCCCGTCTCTCGCAGCCACGTCACGACGTGGCGATGCTTCCCTGACGTTGTGTCCCACCCCAAAACTTATATTTACTTTAAAATTCCATACCTCAGGATTCTGTATGTTACATACTATGATGCACATTGCACAACCTCCGGTTATTAAGTATTTTTAGGTGACAATTTCATATCATAGTATGCTAAACGCCGACCCACCTTATTCTGCTCCTACGCCGAAGAAGAATATTGTAGGGTAGCTAATGCAGTCGTTGAAACTTGTTGATTATGAAATATGTTGATCGTGTTACACACACATCTTCGATGTGCCACACCTGTACTGTGACAACCTTTTGATTGTATACTTGTCCAATAATCTCTCCCAACACTAGCATAAGAAACATATCAAGATGGATAGAAATTGAAAATGTAGTTCTCAAGCAACACATCAGGGTTCTTCACATTTGGTACTTCACAAAAGGTCTATCCTGCCAACTTTTCCTGTTCCAATTTGAGCGTGCATTCACCTCCCGTTAAAACCATAGGGCCTATCATTGGTATTATATATTTAGTATATATTTGACTGTAATATTTATCTTTGTAAAATCCAATCCTTTGATTGTTGGGATCTCGGTGTAACCTTGCATATATATGGCTGTATCATCAATGAGAATGGTATTGGATTTTACCAAATATTAGTATTGTTATCATTGCGTTTTCTTCAACACAAATCAAGCTTTTGACTCGTCTTCTTATTTTCTTGTGAATTCATTGTTACATCAATTATATACCAACTGTAATAGTCAACATCATTATATCTATTTTTTTATTAGTGAAAACAAATTAAAAAGGATCCCATTAGAACCGGTCAGATGGGGAATGTACTAGTCAAACCGGAGAACAAAACGATAAACCGGGAAAAAGCCGGTCGGAAGACAGGCATCCTTACAGGGACCTGTAGTCGAAAGTATCTTGGTCGTTGTTAAGATGGGACCCACGAATTTCATTTTATGAATAAAAAGTTGTAAAGCGATAAAACTACTCAACCCACTTCACCACCCTGTCACCACCCGTACCTGTCCCCACCTCCCACCTCCTTCCAGTTGCCGGTCACCCCCCCTCTCTCACTCTCCTCGGACCGGTCCACCTCCGCACGTGCCAAGCCCCAAAACCTCTGTTTGTGCTTGTGTGGTGCAACAAATAAAAGCTAGAGAGAGAGAATTAAGAGACATTTTCTTCGTCTTCATCTTCTTCGTTTCATTGGACGCAACACACACGCATATGAGGATCAGGAAGCGTTTCTTGTCTCTTTCCGCAGCTATTACTGCACCGCCGTCGTCGGATCCTCACGGCGGTGACCACCAATTACACAAACACCAACAGCCCCTACTGCTGGTGCAACAACAAGTGCACCCAAATGGGAATCTACGTGTTCTTTACGATAATACCCAGTCTCAGCCTTTCGATCCTCCGCTAAATCATCGTGTCAGCCATCTTCCACCGCCCTCCTCCGATCACAGCACACAGATCGGGTTTCAAACCACTGCTTGGACTCCCTCCGGTGCAGGCAGTGAGCCAAAGCATCTTATTGTTTCTCCTCACAAGGTACATCATTTTCACCAACAGAAACTGCACCATATATATACTTATACAGATCTTGTATCTATATATATATTTTTTGTTTTTTATTTTATCTTTTTAAACCTTGAAGGAGCTGGAATCTGAGAAAGAAGAAACAATCAAGACCAGTGATACTTGCAGGTAAGAGATAGCAAAGATCCCATCCTCTTCCCCTCTCTACCCCCTTCTTTCTCCCTCATTTATCGGTTAATGTTCGCCGGAAAACAAATTTTGAATCTTTTTGGGATAGACCCAGATTTTTTAACACCCACAAGCAAAACATTAATTATTATTTTTTTTTAATTCACCGAGAAAAGAAAGAAAAATAATTGCTAGAAGTGCAAAAACACTGTAGAATGGTGTTTTTATATCAGGTTAGAGAGCCAACCATATGTACAATCCCAATCCTTTATAAATTGCACCCCCATGTGGTGCATGTTAGCATGAAAACTGGTCCCCAGCTACAATGTTCCTTCATCTTTGCGCTTACTAAATACTAATGCTCTTATCTTATATATCTTTTCTTTGTTCTTACTTTCATTTTAGCAGTAGTTCATATAAGCACATACGTTTTCTTGTTTTGAATCTTCTTCTTCTCTTTGTTTCCAGGAAAGAAAGCATCGTGTGTGCAGAAGCAAGCAGCCGTGTTCATAACACTGCTTCACTACCTCCACCACCAACAACTTCCCATCTTGGTATGTATATTAACCGTGAAAGTTTTTAGGTATTATGTATGTGTACTGTATGATTGATCAGTTGTTTTGTATCTCTACAGTGTTGAAAGGGTGGTTTGAAGGAGATAGACTGATTCCAATAAAAAAGAGAAGAGGAAGCTTTGGGAAAGGATCAGCTAACCATGGTCTTGAGGAAGATAACGAGATGATCATTGATGAAGGAACAATGAAGCCGAAACCAAAGAAGTATGCTAAATACATGGCAACATGTAAGGAGGTGAATACAAGTACAACGTATCCAAAGAACAAGAAGAATGGGAAGAGAGGGAATGTGATAATGGAAGGATCGAGGTGTAGCCGTGTAAATGGAAGGGGGTGGAGGTGCTGCCAACAAACTCTTGTTGGGTACTCATTGTGCGAGCATCATTTAGGTAAAGGAAGGCTTAGAAGCATGAACAGTGTTCGGGGTCGAGCACAAAAGGTTAAAGTGAAAGAACAAGATCAAGAAGTTGAAATGACATCGATGGATCATACTGGTTTTGAAGATGATAAAGATTGGGAGGAGGAATCAGTGTCATCTATGGAGGGTATGAAGAAGTTGACTAAAAAGAAGAAGCTTGGAGTGGTGAAGGCTCGATCGTTAAGCAGCTTGTTGAGCCAAATAGGCAGTTAATAATAATGCATGGCGTAGCTTAACGAAAATTACAAGAAAGAAACAGGTGATCATAGCACGCATGTACATGTCAATCAAAATCCAGACAATTACGAAAATTTATATGTGATAATCCTAGTGCAACTCATCTATAAAATGCTGCTTAGTTTTCTTTAATTTTCTGTAGTCATCATTTCATTTTTTATTTTTTATTTTTTTTAAACACTTCAATAGAGCCAGAAATATCTATCTGGCAAACGGTTTTTCGGAAGGCTCTTCTAATCTGTGCGAACAAATGGTGATAAATTGCAACCAAATAAACATTTTTTTACCAAATACAAACACCGAATAAAATTTTGTATTTTTGTACAGATTCAAATAATATCCTAGAATAGTTTTGATAGTACCAATTAGTCGCATCGGTTGTCCCATAATGTGTAAACTAGAAGTAGAATTTTCTAAAATGTAAACAATTTTTAAAATTTTATTTTCATTGATCTTTCTAGACCTTTATTAACTTAATTATATATTGTAGCAACACATTATAGACTTCTACTTTGTTATATATGTGTTTCTTTATTGATCTTTAACCCAAAATATTCCATTGTTGTGCTTCCTGAATGTTCTTATCATTGTCTCATGATTCTTCCAATATTACTCTTGGTTGCGTAAAGAAACCCTCGTGGATGTTATCACTAAAGCTTGGTCCTCAGTCACGATTATAGGCAAAAATGGTTTATGTTACAAACAAACTAAAAAGCAGTGTTTGTGAAAGCTTATTTAAAACAACTTACATTATTTATTTGTAAATTAATTATTACGTTGCAGTACCAAAACATATTTTGTTAAAAACAAGTACGGTTTAGTAGATGTTTTTTTTTCTTCCATGTTCTCAAACTGATTATAAGCAATAAGCTAATAAATGAAAATGAAACAACTTATTATATAGGGTAAATTACACCAATCGTCCCTCGTGCATATGTCAGAAAGCGTATTTAGTTCCTATTTTCAAAAATTAACTCGGACCGTCCCTCATGTCGTAAAAAGTTGCATGTTTCGTCCCTGGTGTCATAAAAAGACTATTTTACCCTTATATTTTTATTTTTTTCATTTATTTATTATGTATTTCTTATTAACCCATTAAAAATTATATAATAAATTATTTTGGCCCACCCATTTTAGAATACCAGTTGACCATCTTTTTCGTATATTTAAAACCTACACCTAACCACCGCCCACCACTTATCACCGCCGCTCCGCCAGAAAACGCAACAATGTCAACGGACTTCCGACCACCTCTATAGACTTGAACAACCCTCTATATCCACTTACCATCCTCACTTCACTGGAAACAACCAACATGTTAAATGACTTGACACGATCTACACAGTTGATGATGATGATGGTGTAGATCTAAAGCAGCATCGTAGATTGAGATGGTGGCGTGGATCTGAGACGATAAAGGTTTTCAAGTGAATAGGTGGTGATGACGGCTCTAGGGTTTCACGATCCACACCCTTTAAAACCTTCCTCTGAGACACATATGCAAGAATGTTGTATGAAGATCTTCTCTGGATGTTATTCTAGAGATCGTGTCAAGGGTTTTGTTAGTCGGGGCACTAGATTCGTTTTTCCGGCGGCAAGGACGTCACAAGATTTAATTTTCCGGTGACAAAGACTCACCGCATCTGTTTCTGTTCATCGGGGTTCCCACCACCACCACCATCATCTTCAATCACCATCGTCATCAAGGTAGGAACCGCCACCACACCACCATCAGCAGTTTCGTTGATGCCCTTCTTCTTTCTCCGCCTATCTTCTTCTTGTCCTACTCTCTGCGTCTCGATGGTAGATTTGATTTCCAGATACGATTTATGAGTTTGATTTCGGGTTAGATTGTGGGTTTGGAAATCAAAACTATTTGGGTTTCAGGTTGAATCTTCGTTTGATTTTGATTTCTAATTGATTTCCAAATTCTAAAACCATTTGGTACATGTTTCAGACTTGGGAACTGCATGTGAAAGGTGAAAATTGGGGTGGTCGGAGAAGAGCAGGTCGGGAGAGGAGGATAATGGGTATGTGGGGTGGGATGGGGTGGGGTGAGGGTTGTAGGGAGAGGGGTCCATTTACTTTTTAAATTTTAAATAAGAATAAATATTATCAGATTAATTGAAAAATAAATACATAAGGGCATTATGGTCATTTCAAATATGGAACGGACTAAAACTGCAACAAATTCTTCTTTGAGGGATGAACCGTGCAAAATTTAAACAAACGAGGGACGGTCCGAGTTAATTTTGGAAAATAGGGACTAAACACGCTTTCTGGAATGTGCACGAGGGACGATTGGTGTAATTTATCCTATTATATATATATATATATATATATATATATATATATATATATATATATATATATATATATATATATATATATAGGCTTAGGTTATTTTGTTTAAAGTAATTATTGTGTTATTGTATTCATAAATGTGGGCCAATCAAATTTACTTATTTTAAGAAAGTGATTAATATATATTATTGAATTAAATATAATTGAAAAAATCATCTTAATTAATTACAAGGGTAATTTAGTCAATTAATATAGATTTAATAAAGGAAAATTGCATTTTTAAGGGATCATAGATTCTATTAATTTTAAAAATCCGATTTTACGAATTATAATTCTTTTAATTCGGACATTCTGACAGAATATGTTTATGAGTATATTCAAAAATAAAAATATTCTTGAACCATAAATAATAAAAATATTCTTGAACCTATTTCTTTATCATGAATTTAAAAACTTATTGTAGAATAACAAATTCTTGAACAATCAATTGAAGAATAAAAACAACAAATACATTATTTCTTATAGAATGCGGGTAACAATTGTTAATAATTACATCAAAATCTAACAACGACTAATACATTCTAAAAGAATAATGAGGTCCGTTTCAATTTTGTGGTCCGTTCTTCAAGCATCAACTTCTGTGATTCCAACAGAATTGGAATTCGTCATTCCATTCCAACATAATTGGAATTCTTGATTTCATTCCCATAGATATTCTCACAACTAGTCATGCCATTCCAACATAATTGGAATTCGTCATTCCATTCCAACAACTTGAAAACATGTATGGTGCTTATTCAATGACCACAAAATTCCATCAAAAACTCTATACAAACATTCAAGTAGTCAACAAAAGGTTGGAAACCCTAAAAATCCCTGTTCAAGTCCATTTTGGACTAGGATTTCCTTATTGGGCCTAATGGACCAATAAACTTTCAATTTGACTATTTTGGGCTAAGAACTCTTAAATGGGCCCTAATTGGACCCACTTCCATAAAGCTGAACCTTTTTGGGCCTTATAAGCCTAAAATGGGCTAGTTTATCTAAATGGGCCTTATTGGGCCATAACAAATTTAATTAGCCCTAATGGGCCTTATTAGGCCATAACAAATCTAATTAGCCCTCTATTTTCGGTTTCCACAAGTTTTATGGGGGAGAATACAAGTAAAATGTGTAGATCTATGTGTATGTGTATGTTATGTGTGATTTCATGTGTTTATGTGGTAAATATGTGCCAAAAAGGAAAGAAATCTCGAGATCTATGGCTCAAGGAGGAAAATATACGTGATCTAGGATGTATTACATTAAACAAGTCAAGAAAAATTATCACCTAAGGTTAAAATAAACATGTTACAACATAAAACTCATTTTTGGGCTATTTTTGTCAAATAAACAAAAGTTGGGTTAAAGGTTGTCATTCACGGTTTTATAAGGACCCAAAGGGTCAAACAGTTAAAATAGAAGTTTTTATAAATATTATGCTCTTCAAAGGACTAGAAATGTAAATTGTAGCCTATTGGGCCAATTTTTTGGTCTTTTCGGCCCATAGGCCCAAACTTGCGAAAAAAATGGGTTTTAAGGGACTGAAATGGTAAATTTCTCAAAACAGTGGGTAAAAAGGTAAATAAATCTATTTCAGGGGTTAAAATGACCCTTTTTGCCAAAAAGGATCATAAATGCAAAAGTTTTTGGATTTTTGGTCAAATTTGTAAAAGTTGCGAAAAGTTTGGACTATAAATGAAAATCTTTTTACTAAAAGGGCTGAAACTGCCAAAAAGTAAACTTTGGGCTGAAAACATTATTTAACTAAGTCAATGGGTCAAAATGTCAAGAAAAATAGTTTAAGGACCTGAAATGTCATTTTTATAAAAAGGGACTAAAATTGTCATTTTTATTAAAGAATGGCTGAATAGGTCAAACCAATATTTTGAGTCAATTATTTTATTATTAAGATATTTGGGTCAAAAATACCAAATTATAACTATGAATTTAGAATGAAAAATATACATATATTTTCAAATATCGTTATAAACAATCGACAAACTTCGTGCCTTTGCGATTTAACAATTGAACAATCAGACCTTCCGACAATTATACCATACCTAAAACAAGTAAATATTCAAATTGTTGGGCTTGAAAGATTCTAATCATGTTTATTGGGCCTTCGTGACCCATTAACATGACTTTTGGGCCTAACAATAATAATACATGTCTATTGGGCCTCCTGCGACCCAATTACATGCTTAAGGGACCCTCAATGGCTTTTACGTGCTATTGGGTCTCAGTGGCCCATTAGCATTGCTAGTAAGGTCCAAATAAATCATATGCGAAATGGGCCAAAGCGTCCTTCGTATACTCAATAGCCCTAAATAACATACGTAATTAGTAGGACCTTGTAATCCTCTTCTCCTCGTCTGTTAGGCTTACCTTCAATTCAAGTAAACAAAATCAGGTCGTTAATCAAGGGTAATCAAATTCGTTTGGATTAAGTGAGTAATAACGGGCGACACCTTTAAGTGTCGGTCGTAGTCTGTAGTTATAATCAAAGTCTCCTGGAGGGAGAGCTAGAGTTTGTGTATAGATCTATACGGGGGTGATTCCCCCACACCTCAACTGTTCGCTACAGTTAGACTCGGCCAGTCTAGGGTGACAAAATCTTAAGATCAATTCTGGCGTTCACTAGAATGCCAAGACAGACGAACTAGTCATTATCATGCATGGTTATAACGACTTGCATAATAAATCCAATACTATCTGAGTAATCAAGGGAATTCATAATCATTCGTTGTGACGGTATAATAATTCAAAATAAT